CCCCTGTCGACACGAAAGCCCTTTATCGACCTCCACGGTAAACCCTCATCCTACAGACATAATGGGGATGTCGATAAAGGGCTTTCAGGTCGGCGCGGGAGCGTCCAGACTAGCGCGCTGAGCCGACAAAGAGCTGATCAGCTGTTTGTCGGCTCAGCATGGCAGCCATTTAAATTTAAATGAAGCCGCGATTATTTCCCTTTGCCGATCAGCCTAATTTACATCGATGGAGCCATGTAGTTTAGACACCTTTGGTGGGCCTCGTGGGGCCGGAGCAGCCCCCTGCCCAGGGCGGGCGGGGAGCTGCTCCAGTCCCACTGGATAACCAGAACTGGTAAGCCCCACCCGTTAACTGGTTAACCCTTAACATCCCTAGTTACAAGGCTGGGGCTGTCGGCGGAATTGCCCTTTAAATAACAATGAGCAGCGCATGGTAGAGCAACGTACAGAGCCTGATCTCCCAAACCCAAGTCCCATTGAACCGCCACTGAATGAAGTATTAGTTCAATATAGTGCGCGAGGGAGTTTGTTGTGACGCTGATGTAATGACTTGCGTTACTGGAAGGGCCACGTGCCCCAGTGACGGACCGGGGCCTCATTGCGTGGGCCAGTCAGAACCACAGATGGTTGCTAAGAGCTTTGGGTTCTGACTGCTTTGCTTTTTGCTGATCTCCGGTGCTATTCAGTTTGCTCCCCCCCGATAATGGAGCTCCTCGTTAAGTGCATTGCTGCCAGACCCAGCCTGGCTACTAACGAGACAAAGTACTTGCTGCCTGGTTTTGAACATTCAACACATTCTCTCCCTCCTCCCCTCCTCCAACTTACGCTTGTTCAAAGGCTTGTTTCTCTCTTTCAAGCTGCTTGGACAAAATATCGATCTCCCCAAGGGCAAACTGCAGCTTCTCGGCCTCTTTGGCAAGCAGCATTTTGGTCTGGGCATGCTCTTCCTCTTCCTTCTGTAACACACACAGCGTCCCTATGTTCTCTGCCAGCCCCGGACCAATCCACAGGGCAAATCACAGACTCAGCAAAATGTAGGGCTGGGGGGGACTTGGAGAGATCAGCAAGCCCAGCCCCCTGTGCTGAGGCAGGACCAAGGAAACCAGGACCATCCTGGACAGGTGACTGACCATCCTGTTCCTAAAACCCTCCAGTGACGGGGATTCCACAACCTCCCCTGGCAGCCTGTCCCAGCACTTAGCTATCCTTCTAGTGAGAAAGATTTTCCTAATCTCTAACCTGAATCCCCTTTGCTGCAGATTACTTCTTGTCCTACTTTCAATGGACATGGAAAATCACTGATCACCATCCTCTTTAGAACAGTCCTTAGCATATCTGAAGACTGCTATCAGGTCCCCCCCTCCAAATCAAACCCGTGTTGATCAATATCTTCCAGGTCCAGAGGGCGTTTCATTTCCCAACTTGCCACAGCTTGGTATGAGCAGTCTCATCACTTTGCCCACTAATGGAAAGCAGCCATGCCTAGGATGGATGGTGGCTGCTATTACAAGTGCACAGAAAAAAGTTACAAAGCAATTTAGGAGGAGAAGTGTAAAAAAATGACTCTAGGCAGTTGAACTTGCCAGGGAGCTGAAGGAGGCAGGATGCAAACCCTATTATGGCCAGGCCACGGGGGCTAACACCCGAACTCCTAGGAACTGAGTCACTGGATCTTTATTGACCACAAGCTTACACATCCCCTCTTTTGTCTGGTTTCCAAAAGACAACACCTTTGGTGAGACAGTGGCCCCCGCCTCACTCGGGAATATGAATGCAATATCTACTGAGAGATGAGTGCCACACACTGAATTAGCCAGTCACACAATTTTTACATGAACTTAAAGATCTTAACAGATACATTTCATCAGGATGGCATGGTACGGTACTATCACCCTTCCTCGTGTGCTGCTGCTGGCTTCAGAGCTGGGCACCCGGCCAACAGCCATCTCCCTCCAGGTGTCTAGCTATGAAATCAGCACAGAAATAAAGGCGGCAATGCTGTAACCTCCCTCCCCCCCGCAACTCCCTTTTGGATCAGGACACGTAGTTTGAGAAACACCAGTCTCCCCGTGAAGTCTGTTCAGTATAGGGTAAAAGCACACAGAAGGCCAGATTGCACGGACTGTGATGTGTTTTTCATGCCGTGAATTTGGTAGGGTCCTGGCCACATAACCTCAGGTGCCACGGAAAGTTAAAACGTCAAACATCTAAGTGAATTCCAGGGCACGGCCCTGGTTCCTTAGGCAGCTCGCCACATGTGGCTCAAGCATGAACCTCTAGTACAGTACCCTGAAATTAGCTAGAAAGATTCAAAAAGAGAGGCTCTGGTAGAGGGAGTTTTCAATTAGCAATAATCGTGCCTTGAATTAACCTCATTGGCTACGATGCTGCCACTGCGCAAAGCTATACACCCAGAAAAGACTTGTTAGTGGCACTAAGACAGTCTTTTTTTCCTTGTGTCAATTGTAGCCCCATGGAATTGTAGGCCGCTGACAATACTCTTTTCCACAAGCTTCACTCTCTTTGGTGTCTAATTAACACAGTATCACAGAATTTTTTTAGAACTGCTAAGCTGCATCAAGACTACCCTGGAGTCCAAACACAGCTCTTCTACCTTTGATTAAACACTGAAAGACTAATTTCCATCTGTCTGGCCTAGTTTCCAAGAGGAATGGAAATCGTTACATTATTCATCGAGTCCTCCAACAGGACTGGGGTTGCGTGGTGCCAGACGCTGCTCAGAACACACGAAGACGTAGTCCCCACCGCCTAGGAGTTACTTGCCTCCAACTTCTTCACCACAGCCTCGAAATGCTCCTTATGTACAAAATTCTCCTCCTGTGTTGCTAACTGCAAAGGGAATTTGAAGTTCAGTAGATCAGTTACATGCACAGATGGGGCTTACACCTCCGAGAGTGACTAGTGATTTGGGGCGGCCAACTTCGCACGTTTTACAGAAGCCTTTTCTTTCCCCTGATCGCCAGCCCTTTTCTCGGCATCTCCGCTTGGCCACCCAGCGAAAGACAAATCGCTGGTGTTTTCTCAGTCTTGGCCATAAAACCCAAGCGCGGTGCCAGGACCCTGCTGCCAGCCAGTGTGCGGGGCGGGGGCGTCTCCGGAGGAATTCTCCATCTCCATCGCAAACGGGGCAACACGAAAACGTGCGAGGGCCAGAGCCCTGGTGCACAGCGGGCACAATGGTGCACGTTGCACACGATTGCTCAGCCCCAAGCCCTGCACCGGATGCAGCTCGCAGCGCACGGGGGGGGAGGGGGGGCTGATCCTGGGGGGGGGGCTGTGGAACCCCCTGGGACCAAGAGCCACCAGCGCTGGGCTGTAGGGGCGGGGCCTCTTGGTGACCCCGCCCACTCGCTATAGCCCCGCCCCAACCCGTAGGCTCCGCCCCCGCCCTGCGCTGACGCCCGCACCCGGAGCCGCAGGCGCTCGATCAGCGCCGCCTGGGTCGCGGCGAGGTCCCGCAGCTGCCGGAAGGCCAGAGCCTCGGGCCGCGGCCCCGCCGCCATCGCTCCGCGCTCAGCCCGCCGTTGGAAATGGCCGCCGCTCGCTGCCGGCCAATCACAGCCCCGCTCCCTCTGCGTCCCTTAGCAACGGGGGCAGCCAAGCCCCGCCCACCGGCAACCGGGCGCGGGACACGCCCACTCCTTAAAGGGGCCGCGCAGCGGTGTGGGGTGGGGTCTCCGCGGGGAAGGCAGGCTGGGGCCTTCGAAGGGGGAGGGCCCACAATTGGAGCCAGAACGTCTACATGGCAGTTAAACAGGCCCCAGCCCGAGGCATGGGCAACAGCAGGCATGCAGCTCCAGCACAGGCATGCAGCTCCAGTGCAGCCGTGCAACAGGCGTGCAGCTCCAGCACAGAGGTGCATGCAGGCGTGCAGCTCCAGCACAGGCATGCAGCTCCAGTGCAGCCGTGCGACAGGCGTGCAGCTCCAGCACAGGCATGCAGCTCCAGCGCAGCCGTGCGACAGGCGTGCAGCTCCAGCACAGCCGTGCACAGTGTGAAAAACAAGGGGGTGCAGAGAGGCAAGACAGCAAGTGTGTGTGGGGGGGTTGTGAAAGAGAGTTAGAGAGAAAGAAGCTGAGTGGCCTAACTCATAACCCAGGGTGCGGGGCACCCCCAGCCTTGGTGCAGGACCTGAGCATGGTCCCTCTAGGAACTTTCTCCAGAGGAAGAGGGGGAGTACCATGGGCAAAGGGGTTAAAGGCCTGCAGGACAGGCTGGGGGCAGGGTGGCCAGGTTGGTAGGGAGGGTTAAGACAAGCCAGGGGGGCCAATGTAACATTAGCTACTGGATGGGATTGGAGGAGTTACTCAGCATCCTGGCTAGGCAGCCAGCTCGTGGGATCGCTGACACTGAGTAAGGGATGCCTGGGCAGGAAGAGTCAACCGTAGACATGTCAGGACTAAACCCCCATTTACACTGGTCAATACATTCAGTGCGGATATGGTTTCCTTCCACCCATGTGAAGCAAACAGAACATCAGCCTCATGGAGCTGACAGTGGAGCTGTCAGGCAGGTTCAGAGGTAGATCGGAATGGAGGATAAGTTTTATCTGCCTAGATTATAAGCTCTTTGGGGTAAGGGCCATCCTTCCTCTGTCAGGGTTGGTACAGCAGCTAGCACAGTGCAATTTTGTTGTGCAACTAGGGCTGAGAGGTGCTACAGGAATATCGCAAATTGCTGCCAATACTGACAGCATGTGAAAGGCGTTCCTCTCCTTGCCGCCGTGTAAATCTCCAGTCTAACAAAAGCCCAACGGGGTAGCTGGCTTTGGAGATGGATGTTTGGGTTTGTTCTGGGGCTGGTTATGGGCACTGTTGCTACAAGAAAGCACCTTCAAAAGGGTGGATCTTACATTTCACCTGAACAGGCAGGTTTGGGCTTAGTAAGGCATAAGGGACAATCAGGCCTTTGGGACTTATGCCTCTGGCTGCATGGGAACTTCTTCATATGAGGCCAGTTTCCAGCTGATGGGTGCTTGCGTCTGCTCCTGTTAAGTTTGCTTTGCAAATGTGACTTAACTGTGAAATATTTCTCAAAGATTTGGAAAGAGGGAATAGATCAACTCTGTATAGAAAGGCTGACTTGTTCCTTGGGAGTACTTTCCTAATTACAACTGGTTAGCTCCTTATTAGAGCTGGCCAGAAAGTTTCCAACAAACTAAATGCTCCTTGGTGGCAGCAAAATGTTTTGCTGAATCTGTTAAATATTGACAGGAACCGTTTGCCTCAACACAGGCAGGTTTCCACTGGAACGTTCCCAACTCTGGCAGGCAGCCGATCAGTCCCCAGAACCCTGGGAGACTTCCCACTCACAGGAGGCAGCCTGCCAGCCTTAGGATCCCTGGCTGGAGGCAGGGCTCTGTGAGGTAGCAGGCTCTATGGGAGCCCTGGCTGGAGGTGGGTCTCTGGGATGCTAGATTTCATAGCAAGGAATCTGCCAATCGTTTCAGAGTCCAGCCAGAGCTGGGAGCCTAGCAGCCCAAGAGGCCCAGCTAGATCCAGACTTCCTGCAGTGCTGGTCAGTGAAATTGACAAGAATGTCACTTTGGCATTTCCTTCAATAACCATTTGAGTGAGGAAATAACAGTTTCCGGGATGGGTGATTCACCAAGAAATTCAGGTAATTTTAGTTTGACTGCAGTACTTGGGAGGGCATTTTCCACCCTAATATAATATTGAAGTGACTTTGGCTTTTAACCTCAGCGGTGAACTTTTTTGAAAAACATACACTAATCCATTTAGACATGAATGGCATGGTAGCTTCACCTGCTACTTCCCACTGATGACTTCTATGATTCTGCCGGAACAACTTACCAAGGGTTGTGGTGGATTGTTCCGAACTGACAGTTTTTAAATCAAGAGTGGATTGGATATTTTTCGAAAGATTTGCCTTAGGAATTATTTTGGGGAAGTTCTGTGGTTTGTGTTACTTAGGAGATCAATCAGATGATCACAATGATCCTTTTGGCTTTGGAATCTATGCAAGCACAGACAGCCTTGGCTGCACCTAAGCAGTACAATGGGTTTGGCTGTTGCAGCACCTCACAAACTCCACAGGGATAGGGGGCAGAAACACACTGAGCACTTATTCAGCTGTTTGTTCCCTAGATCTGGTTTTAGCCTTGGCCTTAGCACCTCTTATTCAGATCTTACTTAGCTCAAGCCCAAAATTGATGGCATGGTAGCTTCACCTGCTACTTCCCACTGATGACTTCTGATGGCATTAGCTTTAGATGCAGCCTTGTTAAATCTTCTAACCCAAAGGAGTGCTTCAGGAAGCGCAGTAATACCTGTGATTAACTTGCCAAGATGAAGTGTGACTCCAATACATTTAATAAAAAAAAAACTTTATCTTTTGGTTAAAAGTACACAAGTCCAAACAAATGACGGTCTTAAGAACGGAACTCATTATTTAGACCTACTGATCAAGACAGAACGGATTTTTCCCGAATTCTTACTATAGTAAGGACTCAATAGCTTATTTTCTACTTGTCTAGTATAACAGTACGGCGAGAAAATATACACAAATATACAATGTATTAAATAGGAACTGTACAGTCAAGGTTCAATGGATTGATACACTATTACAGTATGGCCATTCCGAAAATA